TCCAAGTCCTTTAAAGGAAGCTTCAATTCCTTGTGCACCTTGTGGTCTTAGTCTAGCTGAAAACATTTGTTTCAAATTTGTATTCACTTCAAATGCCATGTCCCAAGGATTAGTAATCTGCCAAATCCGTTTTCACATGGATACAGCTACTATCCATCATTATTCACATCCTAGAGAAGGCATTGCGCAGGACTAAAGGCTTTCCTTTATGGAGGCAGTCTTACTGCATGAACTCACAGTTGCCAAAGGAACAGCAGTTAGGCTGCTGGTGTGCTGAAATCTCTGCCTGCCTTGTTGAGGAATTATATCTTGGGGTTATTTTGTGTGCTCCTCCTGGCTCGTTAATTGAGGAAAACCCTATGAAGAGGGCAGGCAGCAAGTGAGATGCTGACTTGTGGCTCAGAAGAGATAGGAACCCAAATGCAAATTGTTAGCCGGTGAGAGTAAGGCATACAAGGATTTCCCAGGTTTCAAGTCTTCACATGAGAACAGGGAGGCCCCACACTCACCTCCTTCTCTAGCAGTTGAGCTGCAGATCCTCTTTAAGTCAGCATACTGCCTTTGCAACTCCATCAGGGAAGACCTACAGCATTTCCCAGCCAGACCTTGTAGCCTTCCTATGGCTTTTCATTGCAAAGGTGGTGCAGGGCTCTTAGTATCACTTGCCACGATGTTAATGAGGCAGCTAATTGATCTAACAGGACAGAGGATGTGGTATTTCTCTTTGTAAGGAAAGGACTGGTTGATCAAAGGGAAAATGGGAAGGAGGCATGGGAGACAGGGCAGTTTAATACAAAGTACCCACTTACATCATAAAAAATAATCTGAGAGAACTGAGGCATTTTTGAGAGTAGCTTCTGATTCCAGTAAATCCAACCCTGTGCTGGATTTACTCAGGAGGCATTTCTAACCTCAAATCTCCTCTCAGGGACAACTCATGCACACGGAAAGCTATGAAGAGTTCACTAGTAGTTTAAGCTACTCCAGCAGGGAGTGAAAATGTTGCTTATGTTCAGTGAGCAACTCCAACGGAAAGATCAATCCCAGAAATGGAGCATCCCACTTAATCCCAAGTAGGATGGCCAGAACTGCCTTGCCACATACCTGAAACAGAACTATGAAAACATAGTCAATTGTGGTCCCAAGGAAAAGAGTGTGGCTCTCTAGGATGTCAGCTTGGACCACAACTCCTGGACTTATTGAGAATAAATACAATTCCTGGTGGTTTTTTTGGGGAGGATTTTTTTTGCAGTTATTCCTAGCAGATATATGTCTATTGGATGCAGAATTCAGAAAACCTTTTTGCCGGGAATCCTAATCCAAAATGGCAAGTGGCTGTCTTTCAACATCCAGTTGACCATAGCAATCATTAACAATACTCCTGGGAAGGAAACGTATTTAGGTAGAAGGACTGAAGATACCATTTATTTATTTACTCAAGGGTAGACACCTAATTAGTGTAAACTGGCAACTGTAATGACATTTGCCTGACTCAGGAACATCTTGATTTCTACCACCTTACCCCCTCCTTGCCCAGCACCCAGTGAAATCCAGATTTCCTGGGCTTCTGCAGAGCAGCAAAGAGAATGCATGCAATCCAGATTACCTCTGCACCAAATCTTTGATTTAGTTGCCCATAAAGCCACATTCTGCTTGGGCAAGCGGATGGTGAATATAGTACCATTCATTGCTTCAAATCGCCATTCATTTCAGGAGTGGGCTTTTGGCTGCTGCTAAACTCTGAAGCATTTGCTGTGGTTATAATAGAAGACAGGGAAGGATTGAAGGAATGAAATACCAGAGAATCCAGCAAAATCAGCTTAGCGCTGGGTGGCTGCAGGGCGGTAGAGGATCAGCGTAAGCCTCTGACACATGCTAGAGGGAACATGTGGCAGGAGGAAGTGACTGCCAGTTAGGCTGCCTATTAACCCAAGGGAACAATGCTCTACCTCTATCGAATAAATTGATTTTTCTGTGTGGTGCATTGTTTTACAGCAGTACTCTAAAGATACATTGATAGAGGCACTGACAAACACATTGTTCACTATCTCTAAGATTAAAAAAAAATAAAAAATAATAGGAGACATTGATTAAATAGGCTTTTGTGGTATACCGTAGGGAGTTACCGTGTAACTACAAGTGGGAAGAAGTAAACCAAACCAACCCATAGTTTTGTTTTCTTAAGCTGTCATGATCGCCTCAGCAGAATTGCCTCACCATTTCCTTCCATGACAAAAACTACCTAATATTTCAGGCTGGTACAGATACCAGTGCTTGACACACCCACAAAAGCCTTGTACAAAGCTGGAGGAATTCCTGTTTTCCTCCTTTTTCAGTTACCCCATATGCAAGAGGTTAAATAACTTCCACATTCTTACAAAAAATAAAAATTAGTTTGGTTAACTCCAGCAGACTCCCCGAAGACCCATTGCCTCTTATCTGGGGAAACAAGCAGAAGTGAGGTAGGCTCTTACTTTCCTGCTAGGGCCCCAAAACTCCTGCAAATAGTTAGGTCTTTATATCATCCTTTAGACCTTCCATTAAACCTTTAATACCATCCAATTCTTCAACATTTCTGTTATGGTGCTAATTATTTTTAGGTCTTTAAAACTGCCTCCAAAGCTTTAAATGTTTTTATAGCTGACATTACATAAAATTAAGGTTGTGCATTCAACCTCTTATCACATACACATCTTGTTTGAATCACCTACTTTGTAGGATTTACCAT